TGCCCCTAAATGTAAACAATGTTATTTTTTGTTTTGGTTTCAACTTTCAATATCATGAAGAATTCTGAATGAATCAATTCAAAGCCTTCATAGGCTCAACTCTTAATACAAAATAAATTTGAACTCATCAAACTAGCCAGTTTTTGTGCATAACTTCGATTGTTTGCCTTCCACGAAAAATTGTAGATTTAGATCCTCCCTAACATATAGATGACCTTAAGAAATGTAAATAAATTCAACACTAATGAATAAACTTCTCTTAAATATTAATAAGTTTGGTCTAATAAAAAAGACTAATCTCCTGCACTATAATAAACTAAGGTTTTAATCCTCACAGAGGAAGATATCCACATTTAGTGTCCAATAGTGTTTCAAACAAAATTACTTCTAATGAAAAATATAGGGTTAAGGGTCAAAAATACCTATCAAAATATACCAAAAGTTCATCCAACACCATGATTTTTTTTTTCCATCAAAGTTTAAAAAGTGGTCAATAATACCAGCACCGTTAACGTCTATTTTTTAAACAGTGGGACCAACTTTTTAATGAAAATACCAAAATACCCCCAGTGAAAAAAAAGTTAAGAGTAGAAAATACCCTTAGCTTTTTTTTTTTGTTTTGAATGGGGGTATTTGAGTAATTTTATTAAAAAACAGCATGGGTCCCATGGCTAAAAAAACGGACATTAACGACGCTGGTATTATTGACCTCTTTTTAAATTTTGATGGGTAAATTTGAACCCAAAAAAAGTTTATAACGTTAGGTGAACTTTTGGTAAAATTTCATAGGTATTTTTGACTTTTAACTCAAAAAATATATACCTAGAAAAAAAAAATTACACTTTAAATAATTAGAATTAATTACATTTTTTCCCAATAGATTCTGATGAAACTAGCGGACAAGAGAAAACTTTGCACAGGTGATGATTGAAAGTCTCTTTCTCTTGAAATTTCACCAACAAAAATATGAAATTAGCCAAAGTGGCTGCTCGTTGAGTGATCAACCTCCGCTAAAACGATTCGTCCAATGCCCCACTTGTGACCTGATCCGCATTAAATTAAAATATTAAAATTAAAATTATTATCCCTAAATTATTTTTATCATATATCATTTAAAATATAACGTAATGTCCTCATCAATCGTTGATTTACTATTATACAAACTTCTATGGGAACTTCGCCACTTATCAGGCTCAGATTGTGACTTTTCTGGACCAATTCAACCAGTAATGGATCTTGTAGATGCTCTTACAATTTAAGTGATGTATAGATATATACACCCTCAACAACACAGAGTTGATTTAACTGTGTAAGGTCAACCAGATCACTTTAGGTCTTAAATTCGAATCCTAGAAAAAAAAAATTGTGTTAGGAAGGGTAATCATGAACATTGAAGCTGGATTAGTAGGTTGCATGAAACCTAATATAGAATTTTTATTCATTTTGTTTTTCAAATTGATTTTATGTCTAAAAATGGCTTTCTATTAATAAGATAAGGGTTAAGGTGCATCCAAAACCTCTAAGTATGTTTTTAGATGCATCCAGTATTTTGAAATATTTTTGGTGCATCCAGTACTTTGAAGTATTTTTTAGGTATGTCTAGCATCCTCATGTAATTTTTTTTTTGCCTTGATATTAGATACATCAAAAAATATATTTGGATACTGGACGTACTTAAAAAAAATATTTTGAGATGCTAGATATACTAAAAAATATTTTACGGTGCTTGATGTTGACACATCTTAAAAAATACTACAATGTGCTAAACGCATCATAAAATACTTGAAGATACTGGATGCACTCAAGAAAATACTTCGAGGTGCTAAATGTACCTTAATCTATAGGATAATATAATAATAATAAAATAGAAAAAATATCAGAAAAGAATTTGAAAATTACTAAATTTTAAATCAAAAATTCTAACCAAATCATGTTATTTGCAAGTCAAATAGAGGTAAAACTTGTCAAAATGTAGGAAACAATCCTGATTTAGTATTTAGTACTTTTTAAGTTCCTTTTGTGAAATTTTCTCAAAAAATATTTTAGAAAAAATTAATATAATTAATTTAAATAATTTTAATACCTATAAATTAATTATTAAACTTCTATATTTAAAACCATGGTTTTCTAAGTTAACAAATTAAACTCAGATTTATATTTTATAAAGTAAAGGAGAAATTTTTCATGCTCTTGTGCAGATAAAGGCGGCTTGCACCCTTTGACAACTCTATGCACAGCCCAAGAACAGGACAAAGTTTGCCTTTTTGATTGAAAATTCTAACTCCAATGTTGATCTCAAGTCTTTATCATCAAACTTAATCCACTACAAACAATACACACACACATATATATATATATATTCTTCCAGTTTCAAATATAAAATCTTTATATATACTAGTATAAAAGTCTTATTAGTATAAAGATTTTATATTTAGGATAAGAAAAGTATACATTATGTGTGTGTATATACATGATTGTGTATATTTTATTGAACGGGTGCGTATTGTTATTATTGAATTCTCCTTCAAGATTTGCAATAACTATATTAATGCTTTCTATGTCGAACTTATATGTACTTGAATTTAATTTAATTTTTATCATGATCTCTATTTCTCAATCCAAATTTCAATTGATGAAGGATTTAAAAGAATGACATGATGTTTTATTTCAACTATATATATGTAATTAAAAAAAATCGAGATGGCTTTTGTTTTTTTTTTTTATCTGTATGAAACATGAAAGAAAGCAAAACACCTGATCATATGAATTGCAAAATCCTTAACTTCTGTAGCTGTATACTTGTACCAGTATTTTTCCGGCGTCCATATCTATGTGCCATTTTTTTCTCAATAACATTTTTTCTTTCATTTAAATTTTGTATTTCCGATTAAAAATATTCAAAAAATTTTATCGCAGATATATGTTGTGTTAGAATAAAGTAAAAATTATTATATTCTTTTATATTTATTATTTATTAAAAAATATAAAATAAAGATTTTTCTGGGTAAACTTTAGACTCTAGTATAGTTTAATTAAGAGTTGACCAGCAATCCCCGTCTATTCATTAGGATTCTTTATGAATAAATATTGCATGTATGATATACTCCTATAATCCTTAATATAAGACCTATTCAACTAATTTGATTATATTAAAGAAGTTAGGTAAGTTAGTTAATTATAAAAAATATATAACATGTTTTTCCTAAAACATCATAGTCATCTTCCTTAATATCGTCCCTCCCTCTTTTATTTTATTATAACTGAGGGAATATCCATAGCTGTAATTTAGGAAAAACTGATAAATATAAGAAGCATGTCTTATATTTAGGACTAAAATCAATTCAACAATTAGGTCCTATATTAAGGACTGGAAGAGTAACTTGCTGTATTTATGATTTTTTTAATTTTAATTTAACTTAACTTCAACATTATTTTAAGCATGCCCTCACTTGATTAACAAGCTAGGTTGGGACTCTATTAAATTAACTATACCCTCTTACATATTGGGACGCACTTGTCATTATTATCACCATCCAAAGACATTATTATTTGTTTTTTTTTTCTTTGGCCTGGACAGTATAACAGGTTTAAGGAGATGAAATATTTCACAATATGTAATTACTACAGGGGGAGATCATAAAAGTGATATTCGCTTTTCACACCAGAAAATGATTCTTATAATATCTCAGTCTTGGAAATAAATAGGGTTCAAGCAGACCAAAGGGGTGAAAAGGAGCCTCCATTTGTATTGGTTTCACCTGTTCTGACTTGGCCAGAATCAGAAATTGTCTTTACATTTTAATTAAGACAATTATTGAAGTCATGGGAAGAAACAAACACATCAAAAATTACTCAATCATTTTAAATTGGGGATCAAATAAGGACAAAATTTGCCTTTACGCCGTTTACTGTTAATTTATTGATTAGTAATTATTTATTAATGATGATCTCATTGATCTTAACACCCTTCGCAAACTCCCTTATAGTTTATTAAATCCTCACTACTCCATCATATACAAGTCTCTATCACCAAAAGGTATCTTTGAATAATATTAAGTTTGAGACATAAAATATTGATGGATCCAAAGGACTCAACCGTTGAATTCAACTTCCCAAATTGAATCACAAAATTAGCAGAATCATACTGTGGAATATGCTTTATTATCCTTTCAAGAACATAAATAAGAAAAGAAAATTTTGATTGAATTTGTATCTAAAAGAAGATGATGAGATGAGCAACTAGCATCTTCCGCCAAGTGGGATGTCCTCAACAATTTAATTGTCTCTATTTCATTTGACGCTTTGCTAATATATTTATTAGTGCCTCGTAATTGTCATTGGAGTTTGAGTTTCCTACGGAACCATGTTGAGCGTCAGACCAATTCCTTAACACTTCTATTTAAATTAACATTAACGTTGCATAGACACACCATTAAGGATTGATTTGTTGATCAAAGTAAAAATCAATCATTCTTATACCCAAATATTTTGACTATCTGTCAATACACAAAAGTAACACTAACTCAGACAACAGCATGTTACCAGTGAACCTTGGCCATCTCACCCCGATATATTCCTCAAAAGGTTGTGATCCTCTTAATTCAATTCTTCATGTCCTTTGATTCACTCACTAATTTGTTAATATGTAAACCATTATTGATTGTTGCCAGACATGAGTTCATTTGTTAACTTCATTTCTAAAAATTGAGGCAGATGAATCCATTGATTCTTGAGAAAGAATGGATACTTAGCTGTCGTTATAAATAGTACCTCCAATTCTTAATATAAGAACTAGTTAACTAATTTGATTAGATTAAAAAAATTTGTTAAGCTAGTTATTTGTAACAAATATGAGTTAAATTTTCTAAAATATCTTTTTAGTCTTGGATGAAAACCCTTTAATATATGCAATTAATAGGGATACTTTAGGGAGTGAATTATAAATTTGAAAGACAAAATAAATTGAGATCTCATATTTAGAACCAAATACAATTCCCAACTAGCTCTTATGTTAAAGTAATATAAGAAAGACTACGGACAGACATACCAAGGCAATAATATGCAGTTACAAACAAGTTACAGGAGACAACTGACCAAAGTTCTCATTTCATGCACAAGAAAACCAGTTACAACAAGAACTGAAAATAAGTTTTAAAACTGATGAGGACACATTGCCTGTAACAAACAACCCATCTGACAAATTCTGTAAATTGTTAATACTAAAGATGCAGCCACCACCACTGGGGGATAATTATGAATTCAAACATCAGAATTATGCAGTAGAGGAGAAGTAGGGCTATCATTCCTTTCTGTATATTTCTTTGGCATCAAAGCTGGATCATCATACGCCCTGGTTAACTTATCATAGAATTCAGACAAGTGAGGATCATCTTGGTCTTGTCTATCTTTCTTTATCAAACACTGCAGAAGCATTATATTCATAAATGAGACTGCATTAATTATCAATGAAAGGCAATAATGATTTGGACATATCTATATATTTCTTAGTATACTTCTTCGTAATATCATCTTCCCACTGGGGTCATTCACAGATTAGCTATTTTTCAATTTGGTTTTTCATAAAATTTCCCTCACAATTTAATTCTTGATAAAAGAATACTTCTCAATTTAGTCCCTAAAAAACACATTATTCCATCAGCACCCATGTATTGCAAATATAATCAAAACTAGATTAAGAATATTATTAATAACTGTTTTATTTGCCGGAGGCCAAAAAGAGAAATACCCATCTGTTAGGAACCAACTTAAGAATTACCTTGCCTATGAAGGACCAAGTTATGAGAGACTAAAACTGAAAAATACCCCATAGAATTTCACTTCACAAATCCACTTTGGATCAGACTACAATGCGAAAACAAAATGCCATAACCTATTTTAATCATTATACTGTATAAGACATTCGTAAACTGTCAGCATTAATAGGCTAGCTTAAGTAAACCCAGCAAGAAACTATAGAGACTAAATGTGATTTTTCAAACAGACAGCAACCCCCTCGTGTTATGGAATTCAAGTATGGACATACGCTAGGCATCATCGTTGTTAAGGTTTACAAGGAGATATTGTGTGAACAACTAAATTCCCCATCAAGCTACTTTCCAAGCAGATGTCCTTTCAATTTCAAGTAAGTTCCCACATATTTTTTATGTTACAATGTCGTTCTCCATAACTAGTTCATTAAGAACCAACTTAGAACCTCACTAATTCATTATATTATTGTTAGATGCCAGTTACATTGTCTTTAATTATCTCCCGTCATCCTGATATCTAGCTTAGCAGAACACCTGGCTCCAACGAAAGAAAATACCATAGCTCTTTGAGGGGACAAGTCCTCCCCCAGATTCCCCAGTCCCTCTTCCCTTCTCGTTTATTCTTTTGAACATAACTCTCTCTTACAGAGCCCCCTTTTTCTGTGTCTTTCCTCAGAAACTCCTTCTTCCATCTGTTATTTTGCCCCACAGACTGCTCATGCTCTCTTTCACCTTAATTACCCATCCCCTGAGCCAGCGTATCTAGTTGGCAACTAGGGTTTGCACAGAGCTTTAAATTTTGATACGTACTATACTGTCATAACGATCATGTAGAGATGCTTGTTAGGAAGCTTGGTCCCCGGAGTTAGCTTCCCACAATTCACCTTCATAGTCTATATGAGGTCATACATAGTAATCACAAGTTCAAAAAACCGTCTAGAGGAAGTTTAAAATCATATAACAAACAGAATCAAGATTCAAAAAGTCAGACGACAGCCGTCAATTTTACCTGAGCAGGAAAATCCTTCAACAAAGGAAAGAATCGTTTCTGGCAGTAATCATTAAATAGAAGTGTCAGAATTGGGAGAGGCACAGTGAAGCCAGATGCGAGGGGAAGCTTCTTCAGACCAAATATTCCAATGGCTATAATATGCATCAGCACCAAGGAAAAAATCGTGCAGTTGTAAACTTTAGGCCAAAATTCTCCTCCAGAGTCATACTTTGGCACATAAACATTCAAGAGCTGTCACCGAAAGATAATTAAGAGACCATAAATTCTGGGATCAAAAAGTGAAACAAATAATATCTCTCAGCTCAAGACACCATAAAACCAGAAATTAAAATAACATAATTCAAGTTAATAAATTGAACTACGAAGCATTAGCTAACAACACGATCATAGAGAACTTTTCTATCTCTTCCCCCCCCCCCCAAAAAAAAAAAAGAAGCAGGAAAAATCATCCAATAAATGGTTCTGAGATATGCACAGCAGCAGACACGTGCATTGATTTTTACCCATATCATCATCGGATAAAATCTATTCCCTTGTCATTGAAGCGCCTAATTTCGGGGGAAGCCAATACATATTTGATAAGAAAGAATTTTTCACAGATAATTTTGTTCTATAAGACCATCTTTCAAGTCCAGCGTTGTATACGACAAAAAGGGGAAAACCATTTAAATCATAAGCAGGTCGTTCTATAATGTTCTAAAGTGAAGGAAACAAAGAATAAGTACTGTACAATGGATAAGAGAAAGAAAAACCTTAATGAACTCAAAGGGCCTCAAATTGAACCATATACCAAAAAACTTTCTTAAATTTACAAGCTACCATGCTTTCCCTTCTATCCTCCCTAAAGCAAGAAAGCTAGAGAAATTTGCTTGGAAGTTACTACCGGAGGCCATGTGCAAGTCACCGCAAGCAAATGATTAATACGTGCAAATTATTTTCGTCTATAAGCTCTAATACTACAAATAAGTGCATATTATTCTCTTTATGATGCATGAGGAGCCTTTCAGAATGAATATGACATCATATAGCGTGTTATAAATGCAAATGAAAATAGTACAACTATAAAAATAAACAAACTATATCTTAATAAAAAAATGAAGCATAGTACAGATGCTGCAACGCAAAAGGAGATTTTGCAAACCTGGTTGCGATAAATGATGTATCCCATACAAAAGTAGACCAAGAGGAAGGGCAGTATTAATGGAGCAAGGAAGAAGTATGTGATGCCAAGAAGAACAAATAAAAGAATCCCCGGAATTTCACTGTGATAGGGGATTGAAGGGGCTTCAAAATCATCAACACGGTTCCCAGAACAAATTCTACTTTTCAAATTACAAAGAAATCGAAGCAACTGAAAGAGTTCTGATGCTACATTGGTCCATCCGGATGTCACAACATATGCTATGAAGAATGATGCCTACACCAATTATAAAATAGATGAAATGAACTTCATATCCCCTTAATGGACGTGATAATAAGTTATATACAAGGTAAGAAGATGTCATTTAAATGAACAGTGTGACAAGTAGTAGCAATTAAAATATCTATTTATGGACAACGGTGTATTGTATTACTTGAAATAATATCCATTTCAAACTGAAGCATCAGATCCTCACCCCTGCATCTTTGCGCTAGGATAGTTTCCCAAACTCCTTTATGGATTGCAGCTCACAACCATTATTTTAGGCTGAGGGCCCAAGGAGCTCCTATTAGTTAATATATTCTGACTGTATTTTCTTTTCCCCTTGATTTCTTTTAGGATGATTCCTCATCCTTTTATGATACTCCTTTCTATTATTTCTTCTTGATGGGAACATGATATTCAGAACTTTAATTAATCCAGTAAATGGCTAGTACAAACTCTTCATAATAGGGTAGAAGAGTAAAATGGAGACAAAATCACTAACCACACCGCCTGTATTAGTCACTCAAGTAGTAATAGAAATGAAAATGGAAATGAAAGGAAACGGAACATAAAATTGACACCATATGACTCTCAGACTAATGCCCTCCCTTCCTCCTATAGCACAAAACAATGAGGGAGAATTACAATCAAGTCCCAAGGAAGAAAAATAATTACTAAAAAGTCTTAATAACAACTTGAGTAGCTTGCAATGACAAGTTCTAGAGTGAAAAATAACAACCTCTGGAACTTGTTTTGTAATTTTTTTCTTTCCTTAGGACTTTATTGTAATTCTCCCTAACAATAAAGAAACTGTCGTAGGACTCACACTCTGTCCAATCACCCAAAACTTGGGCTCTTGACCATTGGGCCTGTTTAGTTCTGCTACTCTCATTGGGTCTATCACCTCTTACTGAATTTATTCTCTACAAAGAATTTAAAATAAGCTTCTGTGATGCTCAAATACTTTTTCAACGCATTATGAATGACAGTGTAGCATTTACATTAGAGAACCTACCTCTGGGTGCATGTCTTACATTATTTTTTTGGGGAAAAAAAGCAAGTATGCAGCCAAGTAGGAAAAAAGAAATCAATTAAAGAGGATAATAAACTGACATCTGCCACAAGGAAAACTCTCTCAACCAGCTCTATCAAGTATTACTCTAAGGCAACACTATGTTACTTGCTCCTCACAGCATATCAGCAAACAGAGAACCTTGTCTTCTCACTGCAAAATATTTCCCTCAAAATGCTGTGATCCTCTAAATTTAATTTTTCATGTCACCAATGCCTTCAATTTATTAATCTGGCAAGATTTAAATAATTCTTGATTGTCTCACTGAGATGTCAGATTTGAGTTCATCTGTCAACTTGAATTCCAAAAATTCAGAATAAGATTTAATTGATGGATTCTCGAGAGTGACTCCACGGCTATTCATGGAAAATTTCATCATAAATGTTGCTACCTCCCACATCTACAAGTAACGAATCTACCAACCAATTACATAAAACAAGGCCAAAAATACCAACGACTTATATTAACTATAACTAACAAGTATAATATTAATATTTGATGACATATAAACTAAAAAAACGATGTAATATATTCCAACAGTTACTTCAGGATGAAATCCACTTCTAAAATAGTTGTAAAATCACCTGATAGTTTTATAGAATATGATGCTACTCCATTATCAAATTAACCAAAAAAAATCCTAATAGACAACCTTTGCAGGTATTAATACTTCAATATTCACAGCTTCAGCACTCAAAATATTCTTACCTGTGCAGGTACAGCTTCAGCCAGTAGTGTGGGAATTTTTTTTGGCTCTAGAAAGACATTAACCCGATAGAGAGCAGACCCTGAGAGCACATTTGCAAAGAATATGTTCCATATGGTAAACCATAATACTTTGGTACATGCACTTTTCTGTATCTGACTCCATGAGATGTATCCTTGCAAGGATGAAAGCATAATCATAATAGGTGGCACAGCAGATAGAAACAATTGCAGAATCAGACTGGGAAGATATCCTGTTATAACTTGGCTCACAACTGCCCTGCATAATAAATAAGGACAACTCTATTTCAATTGCTGTACTTATCCATGACAGGGGGTGCTGGTAACCAAAAACAAAACAATAAATTATACTCTCAACTATAAATCCATACTCAACCGGTCTCCTGATTAGGAAAATAACACATCCATGTAACTTACAGAAAAGAATTGCATGCACTCACTATTATAAGTCCATTAAGTTGGGTGATAGATATTCTGTGAAGGATGAAATACCGAAGACAGCATAAATAGAGATATTCTGCAGTCATCTGGTGTAAAGAAGACCACAGGTACCATTGATAAAAATGTTATCCAGTCATAAATTAAAACAAAGGTTACTATACCATTGTTATTGGAGATAGTCATATGATTAACTTTTGGTGCTGCAAAACAGCATAGAAACTACTTGGCTTATGAACTACTTTAATGTATATCAATTGATATCTGAACTATCAGTTTTGTTCCGCCACATATGAGCCATTAACACTGGAGAGAGTTAGAAGCAAAGAGAACATCATCACAAATGCTTTGATTTGAAGCAGTAGAAAAGCCAGTAAGAACAAAAACAAAAAGGAGAGCAGTTTCTCAGGAGATCACTCCAACTTCCCCTGACACAAATAAATAAACCCCACTGAGAAAACCATAACACAGTTTTAAAAAAAAGAATACAGACCCAGAGACAAACTATTGCATCACCAATAATAAAAATATGATCTAAGCAAATGACTCAACAACATATAAAATTGTGTTTCCACAAAATAAAGAAGGCAATGATCTAACTCTTGCATACTTTCATTATAGAAGTGAGACATTCAACTGGTAAAACCTTGCACATACATTCTTAGTATGCTTTTAAGAAAAGGGAACCAGGTTTCCAACTGCTCCAGATTGGTAAGACCTTGTGCTATTGCCACAGGGATGAAAAACAGAATTGTAAGAGCAGCACAGGCAACAACAGCCACGAGCTTCCCAACCCATCTTTTTATGAATGACTCAGAAAAGAAAGGCCAATGCACATCGTGGGGATCAGGAGCTTTCTCAGTAATCCATTTTGTGGGATCGATACCTTCTTGAATGTTCAAAGCTATTGTAGCTCCAAATCTTGACTTAAATGAGACAAAGGCAGCTGGAACTTCCTTTGAAGTTGAAAATGGTGATAGTATTAGCCATCATCCTCATATCAGCTAAATTTTCATAAGATAGATATTTTGTAGGACAAAATGTCCATGGCATAAAACCCAAATCTAGAAGTCAGTGAACAAATTGTATGTAGTAAACAGAGCTATCTAAAATCCAATCAAGAATTATACTGAGTAAGCTCAAAGCTTTTTTGATGTGTTTGTTTCTGAGTAGCAAATGGGTTGATTCAATTAATTCATGTATGGTACACTTGTTGACCCGTACAGCATATCCAAACCATGTGTTTTAGTAAGAAATTTACACTTGCATTTCTGGATCTACTTCCACTCATTTCATGTCAACATAAAAGTGTTCGCGCCCCCACTCCTTCTGACTATAAATTCTCGACAGAATTTCTTTTAGTTTGATATTTCACGCCTCGGAATGGCAAGACAACCTCATAAAAAATTACCAAAAAAAAAAAAAGTGTAGACATCTTCATCATTGTTATTCTATTTCTCTCCTCTTTATTTTCCTTCTCCAGTCTCATTTCATTTAGAGATGGAATATGAAGATGCGTCTCTATCTATTGTGCTGTAATCACATCTTCATCAATTAACCTGATCTGTAACACAAACAACCTTCATCTTGATGACCCAAACAAGATTAAATTTGTACTTACAACTGATTCTGTTTATATCAATGAAAATGATGGCCCAATTCCTTTCATTTGATGTTGGATTTGGAAGTAAACCAAGCTTGATATAGGACAGTCCTACAGGAAATACTATGAATTTACCATCATTGGAGTCATGTAGTTATGATCACCCAGACATCGAAGGTACCTTTCCTGATAGTGAAGACTGTTCCATTCTCAAATTATCTTCTATGTCCAGCAGTCTCCTCTCATAATGATCTAAACGATCAACTTTTTGCCAAAAAAGTCCCAAACAACCATCACGCCTTTGCCTTTGAGCAACTTCACTTTTATCCTTTATTACTGTAAACTTCTTGTACAGTTTCTCTGCATCATTCTTCAAAAACAGAACTTTTAGTCGTCAAAAAACATAATACAGGCAACGTTATAACAACATTGAAGATAAGTGCACAGTTATATGTTTTAGCAGATCAAAACTCTATTAAGATGCACAACGTGAACGTGAAAACCAAATCCTATCTCATTCGCAAGGAAAATACATTAGGTAGCATACAAGAAAGAACAAAGAAGATCTAATTGAAGAAGGACTAAAAGCATCACTGAGTCTAATGTAGTTGTCCTTAATCTAAGTAAATGAAGATTGATCTTTAGAAACCTTCTAATACTGCAGCAGTGGATTTGAAACCAATGGATTATAAATATAAGAACAAGATGCATAGAATCTGATCACCGAATTACTTGATAAAAATATTCAACAAAGAGTCTTAGATGTTACTTGATGAGCAAAAAGAGGACTTCCATCTCCAAGAGACTTAATTTTCAAGATTCGATGATAAAGCATCACGCTTAAAGTGCAACTCCCAGGGCAATGACACAAAGCATTGAGGTTGAAACATAACTTGGATGCATAAAATCATTGAACAAAACAGGTAAAATATGACAGTCTTACTGACGTGGTAGTCAAATAGTAGTTCCTAAGTAACCACATCCCATCGTCCACTATCTCTCAAGGTAACCCAAATTCACCCATAATAGGCCGAGACCTAGGGCATCTAATACCCCTGTTGTAGAATAGAGATAGGAAAGAGAAAGATCAAGGAAAGGGAAGAGAGAAATAGAAGAAAGACAGGGAACAGAGATGGAGGGGAAGAGGAGGGGGAGAGGGGGAGAACAAGAGAAAAGGAAAACTTGGTGCTACTATTGCATTAGTTCAAATCCAATCATTCACATGCTTGAAACACACCTTATATAGCCGTTACCTTATTAACGTTCATCAACTGCCTCAACTTGCTAACTAACCACACCGCCACCTAATTAATTCATACTCTCCCATATATTACATAATAGAACAGCATCCATGAAGGCTGCGTGGTAGTGAACTGTAGCAGCGAAAGCTGCAGCAGAATTCCCAGGCTCTGATTCCTAATGGGTTTTAAATCATTGCTTCAAAACTCATGTACAAAGACAACATATATACAGCATGAAGAAGAAAAGATCAGGTACCCAGAAGTTCTATTCTATCCTACGTAATCTGCCTAAAATGGAAAAACACACCAACATGATTTTGACATATGTACAATTAATGAAAGTGAATGCTAAAATCCCATATATCTCGCCACAGTCATTATGGTTTAAATGAAAATACAAGAATGCTAGACTATTTTCTTCTCATCCTGACAAATATGCTTGATTTGCCTCATGAGCTTTTGTAAGAAGGTTTCTTGTTTAAGATGCAACGGGGAGATAAAACAAATAGAACTCTAGGAAAATACTTACAATAAGACTTTGAAGTTTATTGCTTTGCCGAATTACAGAATGTGAAAGATAAGTAGAAGGATGATACTCCTTGAAAAACCGCTCAACAGTTTCATTGCAGGTGCATCCCGGTGGAACAGGAATACCACGGACTAATATGGTAAATTGATGAGGCAGGGGTTCAGATGAAAAAAAGCGAGCAATTCTTTTTGATGTAATATAGCCATACTCCTGGTTACAATATAAACATCAAGCATGAAATTCAACCGCTGCCTTTACGTATGAATTGAAAAATACTCTGGCATTAACAAGGAAAACCTGAACTTACATAATAAAGAAGATAGCAGACAACTCCCGTAAAAACATATGCAGCACAAAAATGAACCCATAACCTTGAAAAAAGCCAATTCTAGTAGTTAGACTATCCAGATTACAGCTTAAAAAAGCGATAAGTGAAAAGCAAACAATATTCAATGATATTCACCGAACACGTCTTTCACTTAAAATTTTAGTGTAACTATAATAACAACAACAAAAACAACAAGCATTATCTCACTAAGTGGAGTCAGATCACATTACATCATTGTGCACTTTCGGTTTCAACAACCAACTCTCTTGGATATTTAATAAACAATGTCAATGAAAATAACTACTAAAAATTTGTAGTACTTATTAGGATAAATTTTGCATATATTGGAGAAGAAATAAATTATTTACTTCCAAAATTTCACAATGTAAATGCATGGCACCGGTAAATCAAGCTTGTTAATCTTGAAAGAACTTCAACTGCTGTTTTCAGGGACAGGAACAAGAGGACTGAAAAATATTCCATGCCAATACAAGACAAATCTGTTATCTGTCATCTGTTGAATATACACTTGCAAAATAGAGCTTCACTGGAGAGGGAAAAAAAGATCAATTTTTCAACAAAACCAATGGCCCAAAATCATTTAATCAGTTTTTCCACTGATCAAGTATTACTAAATTCTACTCCTCACAGAGCAAATTTCAAGCAGCTGTTTTAATATAACATATTTTCATGCGTGAATCTTTTTCTTGGCCAAGATCATGAACTCTTGAATGTTAAGTAGAAAAACTTTCTAACTTTGAATTATATTCATTATTCATAACAGCAATAAATATCAACGTTCATGTATTTACTGATCTTCACCATGACCAAATAATGCCTGCTAAGATCAGATTAGCTGAAGATATTAACCTGTTTGAGCCATTGTTGACATTAGAAATACTGAATGAGTCCAAAGACTTGTTTTGAAAGTCAGAATGATCATTAAGCTGACTCCCCATATAATTGATCGGAAGAAGAATGAAGATCCCAACAATTCCACCAACAGAAACTACTCTGAGACTGTATAATTATCACAACAGTAAAATGTCATCCGAACCGAGTGAACACTCTAAACAGAATACACAAAGTAGGTGATATTCAATAAGAGAAGGAAAAATAATATTGGTAAATCATGTTGAAGAAATTCAGATAGCAAAGCTAATGAATAAATGAACACCACTTTCAATGGTAACGATAAGAAACAGTATGATACAGTTCAAATTGAGAATAAAAAATGATTTCAATCACCTAAATATAAACATGCGCATGAAGATAAAACCATCTAAACCAGATTTTGATATCAATTCCTCTTCAGAGGGCTGCCATGCTTTTTTCACCCAGCTAGCAGTCGGTAATAGTTGTTCCAAGCTAAAATGATCTCCCTGCTGAAATTTTCCTTCAGTTACCAAGCGAGGTGCATAAACGGTGATATTACCAGGCTGCTTCCTCAATATAGAGTACAGGGTGAAAAATAAAAAGCAGAGCCCAAGGTTGATTCCGACAGAAGTTAAAAGAGCAGAAAGAATCATTCTTCAAATTTGATTTAAAACCAGAAGATAAGTTAATCACACTTGATAAGACAGCTGAAGTTGCAGAAATGAAAACACGAACTTCATAATAATTGAACCTGCAGAAAAAAAAAATATAATATGCATCAATACAAGATTTAGGACAAAATTCATATAAATATATCTTGTAAGTATATATAAAGTCACACAAGATAACCATCAAGCAACGATCATGGTAAATAAGAATGAGTATAAAGGTAGAAGTTTGCCCATCACACTAGTTCTTATGGCAACGACCTTATATGGCACCATGAACCGGTGAGTCTTTAAGTACAAACTACGCACATAGCATGGAAGCAACACAGGGGTCATTGTTGTAGGTATGCAATCGGGACCAGAAAGAGAGGAGAACAGAGGAGAAGAGAGAACTAGAGAACAGAACAATTCACTGCATTGATTCAAAAGACCACAGGCTACACGGATTCAATAAGTCTGCACATATATATAGGCGCGGGTCACATAACTCTCCAACGGCTATAATCCTAACCAACTTTTAGGACTCCCCTTAACTATCATAAATTTTCACTTCAATTTACAGTATAATTACTGGGCTGATAATCCACAAAGAAAAATTTTGATACTTCATCATCCTAGGAAAGCACCAAATCATCACGAATCAACAAAAGACAAATTCCACGATATATTGACTTTAAATAAGAAAAAAATGTATATTTTATACCCGGAAAATCCCTTTTCATTGTCAACCATATTTCCACTCAATTATTTAACGATCAATCAAACATCAAACATTCATTTTGAAACGGATAAAAGTTAATAAAAATTTGATAAAGCCTAACCATGAATCTTGAAATTCAAGCATCTTTGCAATTCCTTTTCGAAGATGATACAACCATAATAGATCAAAGCAAACACACTGAGCTGTGTATATTCATTTGTAAAAGAAACCAACCGCAAGTCCAATCAACCATGGAAAAAGACAGAAAGATTCCACATGCCAGTTCAAAGCAACTAACTTGCAAAACTTTGATATCAAACAGATCTATTATGGATTAAGAAATCCGGATGTAGCGGGGGGAAAAGCAAGATTAATAAACAGCACAAGGAATAAGAAAACTGCAGAAGCATGCATATCCAGATCAGAACAAACTAATTAAAACGAAAACGGAGACAAGAATGAACGAGTGGCGAGAAAATCACGATAGAGGAAATGCGGAAGAAAGAGTGCAGCAGCAGGAGCAAGCGTAGCAGAATAGGAAAGCAACCGAGCTTCAATTTTCTGAAATGTGGAGTCCATGAAGACGTTACAGTGCGAATCCCGAAACACTTGGTTTTGCTCCCGCCTTTTTAGCTGGCGATGGCATTCAGCATCCACGTGCCCAGTGGCGGGCTTACTCTGCCACCTTTCCTCTTCATCATTATTATTATCTCTTTATGTCCTTTTTTTTTTTTTTGGGACCAGGCATCTTTTTATGTCACTGGCCTTTCTTCACAAGTTTACAGTCTACAAAATATTCTTTTAAGTGTACGTTCAACTATTTAATTTTATAAAGAGATTTAATTTGATTGCTTAATTTTAAAAAATATATTTTTAGTATTTTAATTTTAAAATTACTAACAAAATATATAATGATATTGATATCTTAAATGTTCATAAAACATTTTTAAATGTTAACTTAGTAAGTTTAATTTTTTTAAATAACAATGAAAAAATCATTATTTAAATCTACTAGTTTTAGTGTTAAAAAACTAAGTGTATATATTTTAAAGTTAAGAGATCAAATTAAAATTTTATATAAAGTTAAAGAACTAAATGTATACTTTAACCTATTTTATATATACGTATACATGTATCTATAAGTTATTATTACACTACCTCCTGTTATTAATATAAGAGCTAGTTAACTATTTTAAGTGGATTAAAAAAGTTTATTAAATTACTTATTTGTAATAAATATACGTTATTTTTTTAACATATCTTTACTAATCATATGTATTAGCTAAAACTACTATTTAGTGGAACTTTTAATATGTGCAACTATTACACAGATTATTTTAAAAAGTAGATAAATATGAAAGATAAAATATATTTTGGTTTTATATTTAGGACCAAATTGAATGTCAAACTAGCTCTTATATTAAAAATTAGAAGTACTATCTTTGATCTTTAATATAAAACTTAGTTAACTAATTTGGAAAAATTAAAAAAGTTAGTTAAATCAGTTATTTGTAATAAATAAGTGTTGACTTTCCTAAAATACGATTATTAATCATGTGTGTTCAAATTACCTATTGATAATAACTTTTTAATATATATAATTACTATAAAAATTATTTGAGGGTAAAATAAATAAATATTGAAAACCAGCAAACTAATTTTTATATTAAGAATGGAGGTATTACTATTTATTTTTCAAATTCGACGCAAACACGTCAAAAGTATTCTAACAAACAAAAATACCGGGAAAGGAAATCAGGGTACGTGGAGTTTCTTCAGGCTGCATATCATTATGAACTCAGTGCATGAGCGTGAGCTTGGCAATATAGTGGTGACTGTGGTGTAATTGTGTAAAGTAATTTATACTGAAAAAAACAATACTCCTCCGATCCTAATTATAAGACCCAATTGACTTATTTGAAGAGATTAAGGAAGTAAGTTAAGTTGGTTATTTATAATAAATAAGTGTTGTTATTCCTAAAATATCCTTGCTAATTAAGTATATTGGTTAAAACTATCATTATTAGAAGGATTATCTTGAAAAAAAATGCATAAATATAAGAGAGAAAATGGATTGGGTCTTATAATTAGGACCAAATAAAAAGTCAAATTGGATCTTATAATAAGGACCGGAGGAGTATTATAAATTATAGCTTGACCGGGGGCACGCCGGGGCTGTCAATAAACAAAACAACGAATCTCACCAAAATCAGTAGCGTCTCACGTACTGTCCGAGGGCGTCTTGTTTCTTCCCACGGAAAACACCTTTCAGAAACTCATATACTACGTTTATTGATTAATATAAAAATTAGATAATTACTCCCTCCATTTCTTATTATAAGAGACAAATAATCAAATTACGTTGATTAAAAAAACAGTTAAAATTAGTTGAGGACAATTAATGTGTAAAAAATATAATGTTTTTTCTAACAATACCCCTGTTAATAAGGAGAGAGAGTATGTGAGAAAACAATTAAATTATTAAAAGAAAGAGAAGTGGGAGGAAGGGAGAGTATGAGTAGGAGACAAAATAAATAAGGGTAAAATAGGAAATCAATACAAAAAACTAGAGATAACTTTTAAGTGTCTCTTATATATGGAAACATGACATAAGCATCAAATGTCTCTTATAATAAGGAAAGGATGGAGTAATTTATAAATACTAAAAAAATTAGTTAAATTAGTTATTTATAATAAATGAGTATTATTTTTTTAAAAAAATATCAGTGTTAATAATATGTATTAGAATAAAAAAAGATTTTAATATATATGTAATCACTATAAAAACTACTTTGCAAACAAATAAATAAATATGAAATAGATTGGAGTTTTATATTTCAGATCAAATTAATTCTTATAATGAGCACGAATCTTACTTGTTCAATAATCCTCGTGGAAAACCAGTTCCATTGGAACTATTTTTCATCAATCCCTTATTAAGTCTGTGCCACGAAAATCCGTTACCAATTTTGTTCCTAATTAATCCATCAGGCAACAGACATTACTCGTACTGCCGAAATGACAAGTTTTCCCTTGTTAAATTTTCCCAATATTTCTACCTTTTTAATATGTTTCTAAACATTAATTACCGCATTTTTAAATAAGTGATTTATTACTAGCAAGATGAAAAGTTGTGACTAATTGTGCAAATTTGTGGAAGAATTGTATTTTCCATTCATCGACTTCATCATCCTCTGAATCTGTAATAGGCTATACTAAACTAAATTTAATAAGAAGAATTTACGTAAACTGTTAGGAGCACCAACACTTGTTCAGGTTATTTTAATGGATGTGATTATCTTGTTGTGGTCCCTATAAGACTTTTTCATAAAAAGGCACTCTTAAATCATTAAATTTAGATGTAATTTTTCCAGTCTTCTCATTATATTATTGACCCATTCAAAAAAGAAATTCTAATACTCTTGATCATGTCATAATTTGGTGGTGCAAAACTAATCTCAGACATCTATAAAACTGGATCTCTCCCAAAGCAATTGTGATCCTATCACCACCAATACTTCTTCAATACCGATCAACAGAGCCAAAGCTTGAAGTAAACTCTAAAAGAATGTCGTACAATAACGACGATGATGTTGACGATTATGATGCATATGATCCTACGCCCTACGGTGGTGGATACAAAATTGATGTCACCTATGGCCACCCCATCCCTCCCTCTGATGAAACTTGTTACCCCATCTCCTCTTATGTTTCAGGCTCAGAATATGGATCCAACTATGGCCACAAACCTGGCTATGGTGGGCAGGAACAAGAAAGTGGATATGGATCGTATGGAGGAAGATACGAGAGGCCTAATAACTATGGCCACGAGGAACAAGATAGCGGGCATGGCTATGGAGGAAGAAACGAGAAGCCTGGCTATGGAAGGGAGGAAGATAGCGGATATGGCTATGGAGGAAGAAATGAGAGGCCTAACTACGGAAGGGAGGAAGATAGTGGATATGGCTATGGAGGGAGAAACGAGAGGCCTAGCTATGGTCAGGAAGAGCAAGGTAGTGGATATGGTTATGGACGACAGAGCGAGAGGCGGAACGATGATGATGGTTTTGGTGTAGAAAACCAAGGATATCGTAAGAAATATGTGAGTACTCTTCTCATTTTCTTTATCTAATTCGATTGATTTCTGATCTAACTCATCAGCTTTCTTTATCAATAATGTGCTTGACGCATTTTAAATCATTATAATTTGTTAATTTTTACTACCTCCAGTCCTTAATATAAGATCATGTTTGACTTTTATTTTGATCCTAAATATAAGACCCTAATCCATTTTGTCTCTCATATTTATACATTTTTTTCCAAAGTAGCTCTTCTAATAATGATAGTTCTAATCAATACACTTGATTAACAAGGATATTTTAGGAAAGACAACACCTATTTAGGACAAATAACTAACTCAAGTTACTTCCTTAATCTCCTCAAATTAGTCAACTGGCTCTTATAATTAAGACCGAAGGTAATATATCATAAGGAATATGATGGTTAGCATTATATGCGTGGTTAAATAATAAGCTAGCGATTATTGATGGATTTAATGCATGTTGGATAATGTCGATTGTATATATGAGTGCAGGGAGATGACAGTGAGGACGAGAATAATCATGAGAGGAGGAAGCATCGCTACGAGGAGGAGGAAGAAGGGAGGGAAAAGTATCATTACAGGAAGAATTATGATGAGGACGACGATTCTGGGAGGAGAAACCATCACCGCTACAAAGGTTATGAGGATGAATAATTTCATGATATCCTATTGCTTTCTGATCTCTTCATTTATATATCCCTATGCTATATATAATACCTATATATAAGAATAAGTCAAGCATAAATGAGGGCATGCATGTTTTCACTTGTAATTGACTATATTTGAGTCTTCATCTTCGCATGATGTTGTTGTTTAATTGAATATTCCTCTAAGGTTTATATAATAAAAACCCTGATATATTCGGGTTGCTGATACGCAAGTGTTTATCGAACTCACTTGGAATGATATACCATATAAATATTATTGGCCCTGACATTTCTATTTGTCAAGGGCGCTGAATATAATCTACCAAATTTTTTTAATTTTTTTAATTCTAGCGGTTCGAGTTGTATCAAAAGGACACTGTCCTTAAGAGATATTCCGCAACCTCTCTGTGACTTAGGAAGTGGCATCCCCTAGAATTAAATGAACCCTTCTTGTTTCGTGAACAAGGGCACAGAACAACGAAAGGCAAATAACTAAGCAGAGTAAGACCACGATGGAAGGCAGGAGAAAACAGTACGATGCTGCGCTTCTCACCATGCCTTTATATAAATGCAAACAGGCACACAAGGCTGGAGACACGTCCCTTTATTTCTCCAAACAGACATGACAGAAACACGATCATCCGTCAACGGAAACAAGAATTTGTAAACGCTGACGCATGCAACTTTTAGAATCCAAAAAATAAGGCTTTTCAGGTAAGACATTTAATAATAGTTTTGAAAAAAAATAATTAACTTGATTTTCAAAAAAAAGTCCTGTTACTGCATTTAATTCACGCGCAGGGGGAATCTTTAGTCTTCAACTATATTTCCTCCCGGTAGCTTGTTTGTTGTGCACGCAAGGCCCACCTTCCTCTTGGCCCATTTACTCACCCATGGGAGCACAAGTTTATACATGTACTTGCACTTGCTCTCACTCATCCCATGTAGGACTTAATTTGACACACTCTCTTCACTTTTCTCAACAAGAGTTATCTTGACGTAAGTCTGCTTCTGGCCTAGATTAACTTACGTTTAATGGAGTCTCTATCTAAGTTAGTTGCCACTTTATGAAAATCTAATCGATCCATGCTAATAGTGATTCACACCTCCCACGGTTGCTTTGAGAGAATTACACACAAGATAACACGGCACTAATAACCACAGATTATCTCATCTAAGATTCTTGTTCTGAATTATTTAACACACACAAAAACACAGGCATATGTGACCAAAAAGGTCGTAAGAGCACAAATAACAAAAGTGCCACTAAAAATCAGCAAGTTGGTTGTTTATGAAAAACACTTTTTAAAAAAAATACTTTCACGTAAACCAAGACAAATTTTTTTCCCATATTTATTTGAACTCCATAAAATTATTTTTTAAAAAGCTAATTACACAATCTTGTACTTAATTATCAACAAATTAATTAATAAAAAACATGATGAAAATGGCTCAAATAGCGATCACTACCACCAGCAAAAGTACATAGTAGGAAGTAGGGTATGTGTAGAACCAGGAATACAGGCCAGCCCACAGGTTGCAGGCTCACCCTCTATTTGAATTCCATAAAATTATTAGTTTTAAATTTTTGAAACACTTCTTTTAAATAAATATTGTCTTATATTTAATTGTAATTGTTAATTTTTTTATAAACGTAATATGCTTATATTTTTTTAAAATATATTTTTTTGTTTAAATATGTAACGTGAAATTTGAATGTAAATGAAAGATGAAAATTTTCAAATATAATAATATATTCCCTTGGTTTTAAATATAAGACTCTTACTAAAGAACTATTATTTATGTAAAATTCTTTTTTTTTTTAAAAATGCCACAACTTGCAATTATGTTGTGCAAGTTGAAGGGCGAGCTAGCACAAAAATGAGTTGGCCCGCGAGTAGAGCCGGGAAAACGGGCCGAGCCCGTTGGACCGGCCCGTTTAGGTTCTGAAATTATGAGGGTCAGGCTTGATTTTTTTTTTAAAAAATGAGAAATAAGCCCTGGAGGGCCAAGAACTTAAAAGGACCGGCCATGGAGGGCCGCGGGTCGGCCCGTTTAAGCCCTTTTATAATTTTTTTTGTTTTTTATTTTTTTTATATAATTCTAATGTTATTAATTTTTTACATTGTTAATAATATTTCAAATATTTAGTTATTATTATCATTTTAAAATTAAATTTACTTTTAGACAATAATTTATCCAATTAAATTTTTTAAAAAATAGGTTAATTTGGACTTTAATAATGATTTGATTCATATTATATGCGTTGATATTTTTAAACTACATATATATATTTGATAATAGAGTATTTTTATACTTATATAACATATGATTCTATAATTTGAATTAGAAATTCATAAGTTTCAACAACAAGGTTTTTCACATTAAAGTAAAATAATAACTAGATTGCAAAATTTAAAAGTATATTCCTATAAAGAAGAAAAACTTGATATTTTTGTTACAAAAGAAAAGCATACTTATGAAGAAGAGTAATTAATTATAGTGATGATGAAGTTTCAAAAGATTAATGATAGTGTTTATTTATTATACAATTGCACTATAAATAAAACTTTTAGATGTTATCTTGTTAATGAATGTTTTAGATGTTCTTGGATCTTGATGGATATTTATATATGATGATATTTAATATTTTTGACTTAATTTTATTCATATTTATGTCTTTTATTAATAATTTCATTGGTTTATTTTTATTTTTTATAAAAAATATGATAAATATAAAAAATAGTATTTTTTTTCAAATGGACCAAAAGCCCGCGAGCTGGCCTTGAGCCCTATAGCTTAAGGGCAGGGCCTAGTAAATTTGGGTATTTTTAAAATTTCAACCCTGGAGGGCCGGCCCTTTTAAGCCCGCCAGCCCTAAAAGGTCGGTCCTAGAAGGCTGGGCCGGCCCTGATTCCCACCTCTACCCACGAGTCCCAACCCGTGTTCTTAGCTCTAGATGTGAGGGTGAGAATACGTGTATACCACTCTAATTCTTATCATTTGTTACTTGGAACAGTTTATCAGATACTAGAAATCTCACTTTTATCTTTATTAACAAGAGCCTTCCATATTAATACTTTTTTTTTTACTCATTCTCTCTCTTTTCACTTTTACTATAATTATAAAAAAAATTTGAAAAAAATATTAAAAAAGATGCAAGTTACAGTTAAAAATAGCTAAAAAATTTTCCCAAAGAGGAGAGAGTGGCATATACACGCACACATACTCGTAGTATGTAATGACGGTCGAAAATAGAGAGCCGTGTGCGCACGCGTGCGGGCCTTTTCCAGCTATAAACATCAATGTGTACGTCGGCACATTAATGTGTAGGGAAAGTGGGCGCACGTGTTCATGGGGGGCTCCCTAGCTCCCCCACCATAGTCATATCCTTGTTACATCCGCCTGCGTGTACGGGTGCGTAAGACAAAATCATTAAATCTGTGCTGCTAATTCCATATATGCCATTGACTTACAAATAATTCACGAGCTGCCTTCATCATTAATGTTGCCCCACAATTTTGTTCTGCCATCAAATTTTGACGAGGGAAAATGATAAAAAATTTTGTAGCAGAAGTTTTTTTTTTGTCATGAAAAATTATTTGAGAGAAATAATGGGGCCTTATGGTCATTTGAGTCGAGAGAAAGAAAGGTGACTATTGGATCACGAATAATTTCTTAACGTTATAATAAAAAATAATACAAGTTAACTCATTTACTTAAACTCCAACTCGTAACAATAATTTGTTTAGAAATAATAAGTTTTGATTATAAGGTAACAAGTATAAATTTAATATTAACAAAAAGTTTTTATCTTAATACATAACATGTGAAATAACATGTTGTGAATTAATTAAAAATGACAATTCATCTGAGAATAACAAGTTCTAATTGTGAAATAATAAGTCTAAATTTGATATCAATAAAACTTTTTTTTCTTATACATAATATGTGAAATAACATGTGAATCAATTAAAAATGATTATATTTTATCTAAGAGTCACTACAAAAAAATATGTATTTTTTAGCGGTTAAATTATGACTTTTCTAGCAGTTTTAATCGCCACAAACAACATTTGTAGTGGTTAGAAAAACCGTTAAAAAATCAAATATAAGAAATAGTTTTCTAACGGTTAAAGGAGCCGCTACACAGTATGGTCAAAACGCTAGAAAATTTCTAACCCTTCATGGAACCACTAGAAAAAACAATAATGAGATGAATTTTCTAACGGTTCAAAACTGTTAGAAAATTGTTCCCGCTTTTTTTATTTTTTTAGCGATTCGGATACAAAATTCATTACAGGTGAAAGAAATAAAATTCAAAATTTTTATTATAATAAAATATAATATTATTAATTAAAAAACCATTAAATAGATTATATTAGAAAATTATGTTAATATGTGTATTTACCAATGTATTACATGTTATATATTTAAATTTTGTGATAGATAATAAGTAATTAAATTATAATTGTGTCAAATGAATTGAATTGAATTTAATAAGATAATTAAATTGGAGATGGGATAGTTCGTAGTGTTGAATCTTAACTTTTGTGGTGAAAAATGGTTGAATTAGTTGAGTAGAGCATGACAAATATAAAGAAAAAAATCTGAAAGAAAAAGATAAATATATTAGTAAACTATAAATAAAGAGGAATAAAAGAAATTAAGATTTATAAAATAGATATTATCTTACCATATAAATAAGAGAGAAAAACTACCATGTGAAATAGCAAGAAGAAAAGAGAGAGTTATAAAGAAGAAAAGGAGAGGAAAGAAAAGAAATAAGGTAAATGAATGAGGAGATGAGATGGTATTTATAGAGACCAGAGAGAATTTTCTAGCGGTTGTCTACTATTTGTAGTGGTTTTATATCATTTCTAGCGGTTTTGTTAGTTTTCTAGCAGTTCTGTAACCGCTACAAATTGTAATTTTTTTATTTTTAAAAAACTGAACCAAATTGAAGGTTAATAGTAAGAATTTTCTAGTGATTAATAACCACTAGAAATGTTGAGGTCAGAGGAAATTTTGAATTTTAAAGTAAGAGGGTAACGGTAAGAATTTTCTAGCGGTTAATAACCTCTAGAAATTGTGAGCTATGAGGGAAATTTGAAATTAAAATTTTAAAATTTCTTACGACATTTGTTGCAGTTCTATGAAAACTGTTAGAAATTGCATGAAAACCGCTAGGAATAACATGATTATATTTCTAACAATAATAGTTCTAACCAATACACTTAATTAATAAAAATATTTTAGGAAAGACAACACCTATTTAGTACAAATAACTAACTTAACTTCTTTCCTTAATCTTCTCAAATTAGTCAACTAGCTCTTATAAATAGGACTGAAGGTAGTATAAGACCTTATTTGACTTTTATTTTTATCCTAAATATAATATCCCAATCCACTTTATTTCTCATATTTTTGTATTTTTTTCCAAAGTAGTCCTTATAATAATAATAGTTCTAGCCAATACACTTAATTAGTAAAGATATTTTAGAAAAAAAACACATATTTATTACATATAACTAACATAACTTATTTCTTTAATCTCTTTAAATTAGTCAACTAACTATTATAATTAAGGCCGGGGGTAGTATATGTTAATATCATACAACAACCATTGGTGCCAAGCCATTAAAATCATATTGTTGAGTACGTAATAAGTGGCTGTGCCCACGCTTGAAGGATTTATATGGTTATGAGATTAACGTACGCACGCGACTGTGTGTGAAGACGGGGATAATAACGTGGACGCCATTTCCTCCGAAGAACCACGAAGATTACACATCAATGAAGAAAGCAGTCACGCCACACACAAGCCTTGTTTCTTATGAATGTTAATGTAATTAGCTAATTAATACAGTAACGTATGATTTATCGATATTACAGTTGATCATTGATTTAAGATTTGTTATTTAGCCTAGGTTCATAGCCTAGGTTGATGCACATTTATTGGTGGGACCAGAGACGCATCGTGCACTGACCCCAAAAAAAAAAAATCGGATTATTCAGAACGGATCAGAGGAGGGAGGGAGACGACCAGAAAGGAGTCAAAAATGGAGGAGTTGTGGAAGATATTCATCAAAGGCTTGCGGAACAAATTAAAGAAAAGCCCAACTCTCTAGTTATATTATATATATATAAATATATATATAACTCTAGTAATCATCATAACCCTATAATAACAAAAGGAAATATAGTCAAATTTCACTTTAAAATAAAAGATAACCTAGTAATCTAAATGATTACAGTCATTCAAATCAAATCCTAGTCCAAGTCCTAGAGGTCATTATAAAACAAATATTCTAATTCTAATAACTTTATGCATATGCCATCGCGCTCTTCCTTCGGCGTACATAGAGAAAAGGGCAGGCCATTTCCAACAGAATTTGTTCCATATTGTCATGATAAACTGGTTTTTGTATATTCATTAATTAGGATATCATATTTTTGTTCAATAATAGAAATCCAACACTCACATATGTGTTGAATAAAGAAGAGGGCATATAGACCATACTGATTTATCTAGCTCTATTCTTGCTTTCCCTGTATGCCTTTTATTTTCTCTAAGCATCTCACCCATAATTCTCACCGAACTAAATCTAATGGTTGATGAGGGGGGGTTATTATTGCAATTAACTGATGTAATTTGATCGTGATTTATATTGCAGTATATTATTCGAATTTATTCATAGTTTCTTATATATTTAGTACATAACTTCTTGTTGTCTAGATTGATGATGTCCCATTTATTGCAAGTATTGTCGTATATATATGCAGTGAAGATTGATTTTACTACAAGATCTTCCACTTTGACTTGGTCCTCCAAATTAAACTTAAAATCTGAGAGCCATGATTACAGTACGGACGGTTCTTTTCCAAAATATATAAAGCGTAATGACGAGCAAAGCAAATCATTATGCTTGTATCATGTGTTCGATCTGGAATAAATAGCGAATCCAGAAACTATTACATATTCATGGATTGTGCATGCTGAGTATATATACACACATGGAATCAAGCTTTCTTTTGCCATACAGTACTTCCAATCTTTAATATAAGATCTAATTGACTAATTTAAGTAAATAAAAAAATTAATTAAATTAGTTATTTGTAATAAATATGTGTTACTTTTTCTAATATATTCTTGTTAATAAAGTATATTAGCTAAAACTATCATAAATATTTAAAAAAATAGATAAATATAAAAAACAAAATAAATTAAACTGAATAAAAATTAAATAAATTTTTATATTAGAAATCGGAAGTAATACATGAAATGGTGTAGTTTTTGAATAAAGGGAAAAAAGCATTCTAAAGACTGAAATACTCTTCCGGTCCTTAATATAGGACTTAATTATTGAGTTGGTTTTAGTCATAAATATAAGACCCATTTCTTATATTTATCAATTTTTTTAAAATTACCCGTATGGATACTCCCTCAACCATAATCAAGTAGAAGAGAGAGAAGGGTATTAAGAAAGATGATTATGGTGTTTTAGGAAAAACATTCACATTTCTTATAATTAACTAACTTTTTTAATCTAATCAAATTAGTTAAATAGATTTTATATTAAGAACCAGAAGAGTATTACAAAAGAGATTAGAGCCCAAAACCATTCTAGTGTGCAGGTTCGGAAAAGTGGGGAGAAAATTAAGATTTGAGATCAATGACAGAAGTGGACCAAGCTAAGCGAGAAACAACAAGGGGGATCGATCGGGAGTCATCCGACATGCTGTCACGTCCGCAATAAATTAAAACACCCACATGTATATGTGTACACCCCAGCTAAGGAAACCTTTCTGCCTTCCTACTACAGACATCAGATCCCCGGTATAAAAAGCAGTTAACTAATTTAGAAATAAAAAAATTGTCAAATTAGTTCATAGAAAAACAATAAATATAAATAATTTAAAATAATTTAATAAATTTTTTATTATCTTCAAATTATTTAATTAGATTTTATATTGAGTACCGGTCAAAGTATTTTATGTTTTGAAGCTCTTCTTTGCATTGAAAATGAAATATGATGAAGATGCATTATTATCGTTGGCTAATAAGTGATACTACCTTCGGTCTTAATTATAAGAACTAGTTAACTAATTTGAGAAGATTAAGAAAATAAATTAAGTTAGTTATTTGTAACTAATAGGTGTTGTTTTTCTTAAAATATCCTTATTAATTACGTGTATCGGCTAGAACTACCATTATTCGAAGGACTATCTTGGAAAAAAAATTATAAATATGAGAGATAAAATGGATTAAGATCTTATATTTAGAATCAAAATAAAAATCAAATAAAGTCTTATATTAACTAGCAAGTAAGATATTGTGAAGAATCGCTGACACTTCTCTGTGGCATAAAAAAGTCAATTCCAGCCTTATCAGAACTAGTGAATCGAAGTCTTCATGGTTCTGTGGACACAAGGGTGGCCACACGTTACGTTCCTCTCCAAGTCTTTGCATGTGCTCAGCACGTTGGGCACGTGGTAGCCTAGCATGGTGCTCATGATCTTTATATATAGCGGGATGCATGTCATTCGTATCTCTTAAATATACCTACTTAAATCAAAGCCAAGAAGAAGCAAAATACTACTCATCATTTGAGATTATAGAGATACCTTGATATATTATTATGGAGATTCCCTCAGGAGTAAGAAAAGGCACGTGGTCTAAAGAAGAAGATGATCTTCTAAGAGCATGCATCCAACGTCACGGTGAAGGAAAATGGCGCCTAGTTCCTCAAAGAGCAGGTGATTAATGAATCTATATGTGTATGTTATTTATATACATATGATATGCGTATTAATCAGAGTTTATTTGATCTACTCGTTGCTGCATTTTGCAGGCTTGAATAGATGCCGGAAAAGTTGTAGACTGAGGTGGATAAACTACTTAAAGCCAGACATCAAGAGAGGAAACTTCACTGAGGATGAAGCTGATATGATAATGAGGTTCCATAGACTCTTGGGAAACAGGTGTTACGTTTTCGCCTTTTGTCCGGACCAAAAGTTTATCTGATCTACTGAATACTACTGTAATAGATTCGAACATTATTTGTGTTAATAGATTCGAACATTATTTGTGTTGAAATGACTCTTCACATAAACAATATATTATTGAGGAAACAAACAAGCTAATCCTACCATATGCATGGTCATTAATTATTATTAAGTGTGCACAAAATGAGCATATTTGCTTTTAGAACAGTGCTAATGATGTGGACTAGTGCTTCATATTTGTGTGTGTGTGTGTGCAGATGGTCGCTGATTGCTGCGAGGTTTCCCGGAAGAACATCAAATGACGTGAAGAATTACTGGAACACCCACATACGAAAGAAGCTGCGACGGTCTGAGGAGAAACAAGAGACGACCAGCATGATGAAAAGCCACAAAGTAATAAGGCCCCGACCTCTGACTTTGTCCAGAAACTGGTCAAGGCCGAGTAGAGAGGGATTATCTGAAGAAGGAGCTGCGAATACTTGTGATAATAATGATACTCATAAAAGTGAACAAAGTAGTTGGAGATCAGACAAGGCTATAATGGCGAGTGATGACAGTGACAGTAAGAATAGGAAGAGTGAGAGTAGTGAAGGGGCGGGTGTAGGTGGGGACTCTTCAGCGTAGAAGGAGGAGTGGTGGGAGAGTTTATTGCTTGATGACGACGTCATGAACAAAGGCAACGATGAAGACAGGTTTTGGTGTTTGAGCGCAGAGGAAAACAGCAAATTCCTGGCTCAATTCTGGGACGACGACCAACACTTGATTTCTTTTCAATATGATCCCAAACTCATCATCCAATGACGCAATCCCACCTATGTATTAATGAAAGTGATGATATTAATTACTCCTCTAATCCTTAATATAAGTTCCAATTATTGAGTTGATCTTGGTCCTAAACTTATTCATCTCATTTATCAATTTTTTTTAAATTACCTCTATTGACACTTCTTCAACCATAATCAAGTAGGATAAGGAGAGAGAGAATATTAATAAAGATGATTATGGTATTTTAAGAAAAATATATCATATTTCTTATAATTAACTAACTTATTTAACTTTCTTAATTTAATCAAATTAGTTAAATAAATCTTACTAAAGATAAGAGGAGTATATGGATATTGACATGCTACTCCGGGACTTGATTTTTACAAGACTGAATAGAATATTGTGTCTTAACACGCAAGCATGATGACAAAATCCTCCCCCATGATCGGATCGAGTCGGCTCTATGAACTCCACAACGTGGTTCTGCTTTATCTACACGTACGGATGATAACTACCTCACTCATATGGTGTAATAATCTTTAAAATTCTACTGAGACATTACTGTGTTTTCGGAATTGTAGGAAATAATCTTATATATTTAAATAACAATAATTAAATATGATTATTGATATAATCCACAAATAAAGGCGTGGTGATTATTTATAAGGAAGAAAAACTATTTTGCAGGAATGTATAATTTGCCTTCATTTTTTTAATTCGGTGTGTATACACACACACCTTTTATCTCTCTTGATTAAACCCTTTAACTTGGTTTTGTTTAGCACTCTTAACTCCTGTAATTTTTACCTTTAAAGCGTGTGCTTTTGAGGAGGTGTATGGTTATTTCTAAGAAATAATTCATAAATGCTTTACCAGATTTCACAAAATGTCGTATATTATGGGGACCAAATGCATTATATATAGATACCATTAAATATTCTTGATACTCTACAAATTAAAATGACTTATATTTTGATAATAAAAAATATATTCGCACAATGTGACTTATGTTTGAAGATGGAGGGATGCCTTCTCTAGTTTCTTTCATGACTCCCAAATTAATTAATTAGAGAATGAATAAAAAATTTTAATTAATGTTCTCTGAATCTTTGATATAAATTACCTTTAACTATCTCACCAAGAAATTAGTATTTTTGGAATAATCAATATTTCATAAACTCTTATAGAATAATATGTTTTTTTTTTTCCGGCCAGCTAAATGACGTATTTTGAACCATGAAACTCTCTAAAAGATCACTACTCGGGAATCTAGAACTCCGGCAAAAAAAAATTACTTAATAAAAGATTTATACTATAAAATGGGTTTTATATTTAGGACCGAAAGAGTAATAAAAGGGAATTTAGAAAATGTTGAAAAAAGATGACATGTTTTTACTTTATCATTAAATTGAAAAATAAAAGCATAAATTTAAATTATAAAATTTTCACTGCTAACTATGAGAAAATCAAAATGGATTTTGGTCAGAGAGAGCGTTCAGCTTCGCTTTTAATTCAGCAACTCCCGAGTTTCACATCACATAGGAAACGACGGTGTTTACTAGCAAAGGAGGGGCATCGGATATAAAAAACTTGGTTAAAATCTAGTTTTCCTGAATATAAAGCCTGTTATAAGTGCTTATCATTGTAGATGTCTTCTGTGACTTTTTTTTTTGGGAGTTATTGAAATTATCATCATGCATGGATTGTCATACAACTTCAAAAAAAATTAAGATTTATTTAAATTATAGTTTAAAATTAAATTGATTTACTTTTTTAAAATAAATTAAGTAAAATTAGATATAATATACTCAAAATGATGCGTGAGCATGCGTATAAAATGACGTGATCAGAGGAGCTTCGGCTTCATCCTGTTTTGTGTTTTGGTTGAAAAATAATTAAATGGGCTACTACTCTATCATGAAAATGGGCTAAATTTAGTGGGCCTATTGGATATTCCAATATTTGGATTGGGCTGGCGCAAAATCTTTTTGGATTCCAATATTCAATCTCCAAACTCCAGAGGTAAGAGAGCCAAGAGTTACTAATAAGTGTTGGTTCAAATAGAAGGGACTTAAATACCTTAAATATCATGTTCTAGGTTTGATCTTTGAGATGATGTGTATGGAACAAATACTGTTGGGAGGAGTCCCCGTCATAGCGCCTGACAGTACCCCGAAAGATTAGTCTCTCACTATTCGGGTGAGAGGATACTCTGGATAATCCAAAAAAAAAAAAGAGTCGAAGAGTTGTGCGGCACGTGAGTAAAATACTGTTCGGCAAGAAGGTAATGGAAGGAAAAAATTTTTTTAATGAATTTTATTTAAAAAATTAAAAAGTGAGATTTTAAAATTTTAATAAAAAATAATATACTCCTCATATCCTATTTATAAGATAGAAAAAAATATTTTTTAATCCTATTTATGGGATATTGAGAGAAATTTTTTATATAGATATATAATTTTACCATTCATTTATTGTTATATTTACTTTATTTAGATGAGATATAATATATGTTACATAGAAATAGAATTAAAAAATTCTTAAATTTGAATAAAATTTAATAAAAATCATTTATAAATAAAATAAAAAAATAAAAATTAGTTAAAAACTTTTAACATTATTTTTTAATTTTTTAAAATTGAGCTTATTAAGTTTTTTGGTTAAAGTATATATTTATTCCTTTAATTTTGTACAAGATTTTAATTTGATCCTTTAACTTTAAAAAACAAACATTTGATCCTTTAATCTTAAAATTATTAGGCTTTAATGATGACTTTTGTAACAACCATGGGTGTTTTAAAAATTAAACTTAATATGTTAATATTTTAGAATATTTTATTAACATTTAAAATCCTAATATCATTATTTTTTAAAAAAAGTTTAGAGTTAAAGGATTAAAAATATACTCCTCTGATCATAAATATAAAATCCTTATACACAAGTTAAATGGCTAAAAATATACTCTTTTATTTCTAAATATACACGTGTATAAGGGTCTTATATTTAGGATAATAGTATTTTTTAGGACTAGATATATATCTTCGCCAAAAATATTTTTCATCCTCGTTTTCTTCGTAAGAAACCGACGCTAACAGGCGGAGAGGGGAGAGATTCGAAGTGAAAAGAAGATGTCCGAAACTTGGGGCTGCAAAATCTCGGGGAACTCCAATCCATGTGGCTTGTTTTTGTTTGGCTGGATCATTGAAGCTTAGCGAGGTGCGTTTTCGTTTATTATTATTATTATTTCCTGTAAGATTTCTGACTCTTCAACGGTCTGTGTAATAGTTGAGGATTGCTATTCTCTTTTCACATTTCTGGGCTTGAGGATGAGCGCGATGAGTGTAAAAATGTAGATTAAAAAAAATTAGTTCTGATGCATGGCACTTATTCGTGTTTCTATTTTAAATTTTCCCCTCTCCCTTGGGTTGCACGAATAAAATGGATCGGCACTTTGTTTGTTTGTTGTGTCGATGGTTTGTAGCGAACAAGTGAATTTTTGTTATGCATATGTTTTAACAAAGTTCGAAAACTGCAGACAAGAGATTGCGAAAAAGCCGTAAACCTCATGTGAGCAAGGGGCATTGATGAAAACGGGAACAGGCTTTATATTCCGGAAAACTAGATTTTAACCAACTTTTGTCAGTTGTGAAAGTAAACTTCTTTACGTGCAAAATATGGATATGACCATAAAGTTTACGGTAATTCATCGCTATTCTTGCTATGTGTAGTTTAGATGAACTGTCCATTTGCGTTGATGGTCGAGCTTTGTTACATATCTTCCTCTGAGGAATATTAGATCATTAGATTAGAGTCTACATTAATTAAACACAAAGGCTTGTCACTTGCACCAAAATAGTTTAAGCTACTTTGGAAGGACTCACCAGTCACCGCATACTTACATAGTTGTGGTTAATCCTTTAATCACTCAATGTGGACCGTCACACCTCTAGTAAGAAAGAAATGCTAATTTTTAATTTACCCAGCGATGGAGCATTGCTACCAGAGATGGGTCGACATGCTGTAGAAGATAGCACTACAAAAAAATAGACTTTAGGCGACGACTTTCGGCGGCGATAAAAAAAGTCGCCGCTGAAAGTCCACTTTCGGCGGCGACACCAAAAAGTCGCCGCTGAAACCAAGACTTTCAGCGGCGACAAAAGTGTCGCCGCCGAAAGTCGACTTTCAGCGGCGACTTTTCTAGTCGCCGTTGAAAGTTCGCCATTGAAACCAAGACTTTCAGCGGCGACTTTTTTTGTCGCCGCTGAAAGTATAATATAATAATATATATTTTATTTTACAATATTAATAAACAAATTGCCGAAAATGGACCTTCAGCGGCGACTTTTTTTGTCGCCGCCGAAAGTGGACCTTCAGCAGCGATTTTTTTGTCGCCGCCAAAAGTGGACGTTCAGCGGCGACTTTTTTTGTCGCCGCTGAAAGTATAATATAATAATATATATTTTATTTTACAATATTAATAAACTGCCGAAAATGGACCTTTAGCGGCGACTTTTTTTGTCGCCGCCGAAAGTGGACCTTCAGCGGCGACTTTTTTTGTCGCCGCTGAAAGTATAATATAATAATATATATTTTATTTTACAATATTAATAAACAAATTGCCGAAAATGGACCTTCAGCGGCGACTTTTTTTGTCGCCGCCGAAAGTGGACCTTCAGCGGCGACTTTTTTGTCGCCGCCAAAAGTGGACGTTCAGCGGCGACTTTTTTTGTCGCCGCTGAAAGTATAATATAATAATATATATTTTATTTTACAATATTAATAAACTGCCGAAAATGGACCTTTAGCGGCGACTTTTTTTGTCGCCGCCGAAAGTGGACCTTCAGTGGCGACTTTTTTTG